TCGGAAATTTCAGAAGGTTACATGCTCCTCTTACAGCTTCCAGCTGGTATTTACRCTAGCGAAGCTTTAAATTAACATAATAACGATAAATGATTTTCCAAAATTTCAAACACTACATCAAAGCAATATATGTTTGAAATCTCGAGTTGGAACTTTCGGATCTTAGGGAGAATACCCTTCTAAATTCAGGGCCCAATACTAGTTCCAAAACTAATTCTCCTTACTCGTCCGAGATCCTATCCTTTATCCATACAATTTTCACTGAAAAAAATGGAGAAGAGTGTCCTAATGTAAATATCCTTGAGGCCAAACTTTCTTTTACATCTTCTCAAGCAGAATCGGTCAAAGCACTTTTCCTCCTCGATCACCTGAATTAAGAAGAGGCTCGGTCTTTTTTCAATTTAATAGAAGACAACGCAGACATTTTCCATTTACCGGGCTATCCCCTCGGATTTAAGGACATACTGAGGAACAAAATTTTTACGACTGATAACGTTCCATGGCATACAAAACAGTACCGATTTCCACCTTTCCACAAAGAGGAAATCTCACGTCAAGCATCCGAGTTATTAGAAAATAGTATAATAAAATTATCTATTTTGCCTTATAACTCTCCATTATTGATAGTTCTAAGGAAAGCGGATTCTGGAGGAAACCCCAAGAAAAGAATGATAATAGACTACCATAATTTAAATTAAAAGACGGTAGGTGAGGCCTACCCCATTCCTAGTATAACGGAAATACTTGACCAGTTAGGGGCAGCAAAATATTTCTCCATCTTTGATTTAAAATCGGGTTCCACCAAATAAAAATGCATCCTAAAGATCAAGCAATGACAGCATTTTCAATACTATATGGCCATTACGAATTTACCTGAATGCCATTTGGCTTTAAAAACGCGCCTGCAACATTTCAAAGATTGATGGATTACGTTATAACCGGGTTGCAGGGCGAGGAAATGTTCGTTTATTTAGATGACGTAGTCCTATACTCAAGATCGCTTCGCGAACACGAGTCTACATTTGAAAATCTCGCGCAAGGGCAGCGTAGGGCCAATAGAAGGTAACAGCCTGATAAGTGCGAATTTCTGAGGCGGGAGGTAGTTTATTTGGGCCATATAATAAGTGGAGATGGCGTAAAGCAAAATCCAAAGAAAATTGGTGCAGTAAAGGAACTTCCTCGACCAAAAAACATTTAATCAGTTAGAGAGTTCTTAGGTCTTGCTGGCTACTAAAGGAGATTTATACCTGCCTTTTCTAAATTGTCAAAGCAACTTTCTGACTTGATAAAAAAGAACGTTACTTTCGTTTAGGGAGAATGTCAGGAAAATAACTTTTGTTCGCTGCGGGACATACTTTGTGAAGAACCAATTTTAGCCTTTCCAAATTTTGAATTACCTTTCAATGTTACAACCGATGCTTTCGGATATGCGATCGGTGCAGTCTTAAGCTAGGGTCCAATCGGCAAAGATTTACCTATTTCATACGTCTCTCGAACATTAAACAAAGCAGAGATAAATTACTCTACTATAAAGCAGTAACTGCTAGCATTGTTTACACAGTAAACTATTTTCGACCTTATTTGTATAGTAGAGAATTATAGATATATATATTTGATATATATAGATCTATATATTTGTATATAGAGACATTAGTTACCAACCATCGACCTCTGGTATGGCTAAAATCGGTCAAGGACCCACCCTACTTCACGACTCGTAAAGTGGAGACTTAAATTGGCAGATTACAAATACAAGATTGTCTATCGACCTGGTTCTGCAAATGTAAATGCGGACGCTTTATCGAGAAACCCCTCGCAAGTTAGTAAGGTATTATTTGTGGGTACAAGTGACTCAGGCGACCGTCAAATACAATTTAAATTTAAAGAAAATCAGACTGATGAGGAAGACAGTGTCATTGACATCGGTATAGACGATATAGACGTCCTCGACGAAACACCTGGCGAGGTCAACGACCTGACTGGATCTCCATGTGCACTAACAAATACGGGGGAGACAGACGACGTAAGCTCTGACACGGGGAGTACAAGTGATTACAATATTCTTTGTTCCCCATTGCGAGCGCGCGTTGATACTCACATGCGAATGCTTACTTCTTATTTAGGTATAACAAGAGACCCGTTAATTTTATGGAAAGACAATTTAGTAATTTTTTCAGTTCTAAAAGGCACGCTGTGTGACGCGGGTACAAAACTTGTTAGCGAATCGAAACTTCTGCCGAAACATACAGACTTGACTTTAACACGTGCTAAAGTTACTAATATTGGCAGGTTTCATTCAATTACTATTCCAATAATAGAACATTGTGCGAATAGTGTTAAGTACAAAATTTTGATAGAGGCGTTGGAGTCTTTGCTCGCTGTTACACGCGAATTTGGTCTCACCTCAGTTAGCATAACAAAGACTTTTTACTTTGACAATATATCATGGCAACAAGTTCAAAGAAAATTAAGTAACGCATTCGATTTCGAGTCTTGCAAAATTATAATTTGTGCTGAAAAGGTGACGATTCCTTCTCCAGAGAAGCGAGAAAAAATACTTGTCAAATGCTACTCCTCGCCTGTCGATRRRCACAAGGGASTTACTAAAACTWATKCCAGAATTCGCGAAAAATATTTTTTGAGGAACATGAAACAAGATATTCAAGAGTTCGTAAGGAACTGCGAAAGTTGTCAAATAAAAAAATTACCCAGAATAAAGTCAAAACAACCGATGATTATCACTGATATACGCCTGGAGATGCGTTTGACAAGGTTGCTATGGATATAGTCGGACCATTACCAGAAACTAAAACTGGTAACAAATTTATTCTTACTATACAGGATCTTCTGACTAAATTTTTTATTTCTGTACCTCTTAAAGCAGCAAAATCAGTCGATATTGTGAATGGAGTGGTTAAAAATTTTTGTAATATATTTGGCGCCCCAAAAATTATACTTTTAGACCAGGGGACTAATTTCACTAGTTCACTTTTAAAGTTTATTGCCCGACAGTATAAATGCAAGCAGATTAGACTAACAGCA